GAAAAAACGTGTCGTTAGGTCCACTGTTCCACGGATTTTCCTCAATATTTCGGAAACTGAAAGCCGTGAATATTTATCATTCATGGTATTTGTATCAACTGATGAAGTCCACGAAACAATTTAAACATGATTTAAAAAAGTAGAAAGTGGTTCCAACTTTTCGCTGATGTATCCAGAAATTAAAGCCGAATCTATATATAGAGAAACAGAGGTGTTGTCTAGAATATTAGACACTGACAACCTATTTCAAAATTTCTAATTTACTCTATGTTTCTCTACAGCGAGGCGTTTCGCGGACAGCGGACCTTGATCTACGTAATACAGTAGAATAGGAAATCTGTGTCTTTACCTCTTTAATCGTAACTGTTTCTGAATGCATGTGATCAACGTACGAACATTGGTGTTGTTCTGCAGCTCCACAGTCAAACATTCGAACCTCGTTGCGGTGAACCAAATTAGAAGCGCCCCAAACACGCATACGCACAAATGAGAGCAGAACTGGTAGCCGGTAAGAATATGATGAATGCGTAGCATGACACCCACCGATGTGCGATTAATATCGAACGGTAATTCCGGATTTATTACGTTGACCATTGGAAACATTATAGGCCCCAGCAAATAAATGGACGTATTCATGTAAGCGACGAATATGTAACTGGCGTAAATGACATTACACTTTGCTAGGTATGTGTTGAAAATCTCCCTTTCGTGTTGTTGCACTTCTTTCACGCAAACGTACATTTCCTCGACTATGCGCTGCAATTCGTTGTTAAAGCATTTTTTCAGTAAACTTTTAGACCAGACTATGCGCTAACTGGCGATTCTTGTCCGTATTCTCTTGATCACCAGCGGTAACACCTACACTGCATCGATTTGAACATAGTGGAGAGATCAATACAGTGGAGAGGGTAGCGCTAACGATCAGGTGAATAGAGGCAAGAATCTGCAGACTACCAATTATCTCTGTTTTAGTCAATTTCTGGCCACTGAATTTGGAATCGTTTACGTGTACAAATTAATTCATGGTTAATTTCTCTGAAAGATGTTTAGCTAGATACGTCGACTGCGGCTCTGAAACGATTGAAATCTAACAATTTTACTAGAACTGTTGAGAATTCCGAGTGATCCTGATTTAATGGCCAGAAAATTATTCGTAAAAACATGCGTGACAATAGAAATGAAATTAAGAACATACTTGCAGAGTGTCGTGCTTGTTGGAACATATAATTGTCTGAATGATACTTTGCATCGCTAATACCACCTGGCTGAGACACAGCGATGTGATTTCGATATCGTCCGATCGTATGTGTATCGTGTATAACAGTGCCAGGAGCTGAGTGATAATGTTGATTATTGCCAAAAATTGCACAGTTTTGTAGACGAATAGTTTTTTTCTGCTGCTGTGTGCAGGAAGCGGCCAACAGAACGTTAGAGCTATGCTCAGTCGAACGATGTCGATAGCTTTCTCCAATGTCACTTGTTTCGGCATGATCTCGATGAGACTGTCGAACTTATCGAGTCGAACGAATTGCAATGACTGATCCTAAGTAGCACGATACGCGCAGATTATTGCAAGCTTCAATATTGTTGAATTTGAACCGTGCAGTTATGGCAATTATCATAATAAAATAATAGGACGTACCAGAGGAATTTGATGGAATCGAGTAATTATGGTAGTCATTACAGTATTATACTCTCTGTATGAAGTAT